GGGGGGGGGGGAGTCCTGAGATTCAGAGTAATCTCCATATACGGAGATGTATTTGGACCGTTACAAAATTATATTTGTAGAATCAAATAAAAATGATTTAAAAAGGAAATAGAACACATGTAACTTGTGCGTGTCTGGATAGGCTTGTCTACACACAAATGTTTTAAGCAGGCGGCAAAAATAGCACAGTGAAGGAGCCTGTCCAATGTCAATATGAAGGCAGTTCCAAAGAGTGGATGCAGCCACGCCGAAATATCAGTTTCTTACAAGTACAGAAAAGCGTGTGGCACCTGTCGGAGCACCAGTTCTGCAGGTCAAAGGGGTTGATATGGTGCAGCTGTAGAACCAGCAAACCACCAACTTGCTCCGAAGCGACCGAACGCTCATTAACTTGCAGCCTGCAAACTGAAGACCACGATTTTGCAATGACGCCGGAAATCGGCGGAACTCCTCGCGCAGGATCAAGACGCGGGGGCGTGTCCGTGTAAGAGCGTTCCAAGAGCCGCTGATTGGCTACGGCGTGGAACGCGGTTGCCCCGCCCCGCAGTTTATCCATTCATAAAACGTCCCGCTTGTTAGCAGGGCGGCCGCCTGTGAGCTTCGAAGCTGCCCGAGTTTTTGGCGCAGATTTTGATTTCGGGTCTTTCAGCGCCTCTTTTTTTACTGCTGTGGCGTCTCCGGTGGCTTAGATCCAGGCGGCCTCACCTTGCTCACCTCCGCCAGGTGAGGGACTTTGCAATTGGATGCTTTGGGTGGACTTCGGGGGGGGGGGGCTTCTTTTGGGGAAAGGATGAGTCAGAAATCTAAGAAGCAAACCTACAATATTTGAAGCGCTCCAGATGGAATGATCTAAGCTGGTTTGCTTCTCAGCTTTATTCGGTGCAGAGAGACTCATTATTCAAATAAGGCTGCTGCAATCCTTTTGGCAAACTCTGCGTTGAACGGAGTAAAGCTTGCTTCTGAGTAGTCATATGTTGGATTGCATTGTAAGTGTGCCCAATACTGTATAGGCCTATTTGCCAGCACGTTACAGTTCTTTATTATATTATGGTAGTTATTATATTATGGTAGTTCTTTATTATTATTACTATTATTTATACTTTTCAGATTCATACATTTCAATAATTTTAAAATCATTTTGACCTTTCAAAACCTGACTTCCTTCCCCCTCTTTCTGCTGTTCCTTAAATTTATTTATAATATCTTCTGCATATCCAAATGCATTTAATTTGCTCATTTATTCATCTACTTTAAATATATACTCTTATGAAACTGCAGGTTATTACAATAATCCTGCCAACCTTCTTATCTGTTCCCAATTTATCTGTAAATATTCAATAAACAATTTCCACTCTTTTATAAAAAGTTTGTTATCTTGATTTCTTATTCATTTGGTAAATTCTGCCATTTCTGCGTTTTCCATAAGTTTTTGTATCCATTCTTCCTTTGCTGGGACGACGACTTCTTTCCATTTTTGGGCAAGTAACATTCTTGCCACTGAATAAGTTTCTATACAGATTCTGTCCCTATAATTCCCAAGAGAAAAGCTTCTGTTTTTTTTTTTAAATGAACGTTATTTTCAGACATTATGGTAGTTCTTACTTACGATCATAGAATTGTAGAGTTGGAAGGGACCACGAGGGACATCTAGTCCAACCCCCTGCAATGCAGGAATCTCAGTGGTCTGCTGTTCATGTTAGAGCCTGTGATTGCACCTCTTGTATGGGATATTCATACCGCTTCTAAAGATTTTATAATAATAATAATTTATACCCCACCCATCTGGCTCGGTTTCTCCAGCCACTCTGGGCGGCTTCCAACAGAACACTAAAATACAATAACCTATTAAACATTAAAAGCTTCCCTAAACAGGGCTGCCTTCAGATGTCTTCTAAAAGTCTGGTAGTTGTTTTTCTCTTTGACATCTGGTGGGAGGGCGTTCCACAGGGCGGGTGCCACCACCGAGAAGGCCCTCTGCCTGGTTCCCTGTAACTTGGCTTCTCGCAGCGAGGGAACTGCCAGAAGGCCCTCGGAACTGGACCTCAGTGTCCAGGCAGAACGATTTTATCAGAATTTCTATACGGCTTGCTTGGCAAAAGAAAACAACAGTGCCATAAAGCCATTTATTGTAACATGTTCCTTAATTTATTATCTCGGCCAGGAGGTGTATTCCCTTTACAATGCTCTGTTTCAGATTAAAGTTCGCCGCGACCATAAACCTGCACCTCTGTTTAAGCAGCGGTTCTTTCTGAAGGAGGAAACGTCTCTCTCTTGACAGGAGCGAAGCCATGGCTGACGAGAAACGCAGGAAGTCATTTCAGCAAGAGGTCACCTGCCCCATCTGCCTCTGCTACTATACCAGCCCGGTGGTGCTAGACTGTGGGCATTGCTTCTGCCGTATGTGCATTGTGAGATGCTGGGAGGAGCCGGGCAGAGATTCCAGGTGCCCTGAGTGCAGAAGCACCGTTGCCAGGAACTTGAAGGTGAGCCGAAACATCTCCAACTTTGTTAAGATGCTCAGGGACTGGGACGCTTCCGCAGAGAGAGAGGCTCGAAAAAGGAGGTCGGAATGCCAGAGGCATCAGCAGCCCTTGGATCTGTTCTGCGAGGACGACCGTGTCCCCTTCTGCGGAGATTGTGCCGGACCCCAAGAGCACAGGGGCCACAGAGTGGTCTCCGCGGAAGAAGCCGTCCAAGCATACAAGGTAAGAATGAGCGGTGGATGGGAGTGGCCCCTTCAGGGTTCAAATTCTGCTCATAAATCTGTTCAGTGGCATAAAGACTTGGGAGATTGCAAATATAAATTTGGGAGCAAGCACCCAATTCTCTTTCTTTCTCTAGATCAGGTGAGGGGAATCTTATGCCCTCCTGATGCTGAGAGCCAGTGTGGTGTAGTGGTTAGAGCAGGCATAGGCAAACTCCGGCCCTCCAGATGTTTGGGACTACAATTCCCATCATCCCTGACCACTGGTCCTGTTAGCTAGGGATGATGGGAATTGTAGTGCCAAACATCTGGAGGGCCGGAGTTTGCCTATGCCTGGGTTAGAGTATCAGAGTAGGAGACCAGGGTTCAAATTCGCACTGAGCCTTGACACTCACTGGGTGACCTTGGGCCACTCACTGCCTCTCAGCCTAACCTCCCTCGCAGGGAGGATTACATGAGGAGGAGAAAACCGTGGACGCCACCTTCAGCTCCCTGGAGAAAAGGGTGGGATAATGAATACAGTGGTACCTTTGGTTAAGTACTTAATTCGTTCCAGAGGTCCGTTCTTAACCTGAAACTGTTCTTAACCTGAAGCACCACTTTAGCTAATGGGGCCTCCCGCTGCCGTCGCGCCGCCGGAGCCCGATTTCTGTTCTCATCCTGAAGCAACGTTCTTGACCTGAAGCACTATTTCTGGGTTAGCGGAGTCTGTAACCTGAAGCGTATGTAACCTGAGGTACCACTGTAAACAAATACCTAAAACTACAACTCCCATGAGCCCCAGCAAGCATGGGAAATGGGAGTTTGGATCATTGGCCCCTGAAGGTTGTGAACCTTCCTGAGATCTCCTGTTGAAGGACTGTATCTAAATCTAATTATTATTAATAATAACAATGAAAACCAAGAGCAAATGGTCCCCCACACCTGCTCTGTGTGACTGTTTTGATGGGCCTGTGCAATGGAAAACTCAAGAAAGGCCTTTTCCTTTCCTTCCAGGGACAGATCGGCAGCTGCTTGGTGACTTTGAAGGAAGAGAGAGAAACACTTCTGGTCTATAAAACAGAAACAGAAACAGAAAGGCAGCACCTGATCGTCAGTATCGCTAGGACTGGGGAAATGAATGAGTTCTAGAAGCAATATTTTTTTGGAGGGGCGGGGGGAGTTGAATATTAAATACATCCCACCAGATGTCAAAGAGAACAACAACTACCAGACTTTTAGAAGACATCTGAAGGCAGCCCTGTTTAGGGAAGCTTTCAATGTTTAATAGGTTATTGTATTTTAATATTCTGTTGGAAGCCGCCCAGAGTGGCTGGGGAAACCCAGCCAGATGGGCGGGGTATAAATAATAATAATTATTATTATACAAAGGATCTGGAGCCATTTTTCCTGGAACAAATTATAAGGTAAAGGTAAAGGGACCCCTGACCATTAGGTCCAGTCGTGACCAACTCTGGGGTTGCAGCGCTCATCTCACTTTATTGGCCGAGGGAGCCGGCGTACAGCTTCCGGGTCATGTGGCCAGCATGACAAACCCGTCACGGGGATTCGAACCACCGACCTTCCGATCGGCAAGTCCTAGGTTCTGTGGTTTAACCCACAGCGCCACCCAATATGCTGTTTGATGATCCAGCAAAATCCCTAATCTTGTTGCCGAAATAACTGGATACACAATAACACATGACCCTAAGACACTACAGCGAGTTATTTGGACAAGTTGGAGGTGACACAAGGTCCTGGTCTCCTGGCACCACCATTTCTTAAGCCAGGCTGTCTCAGTGACTCTGACTCTCATTAGTCAGAAAGAGACAGAGAACAGGAACTCCAGTGGCAGAGATCAGGAAGCCCATGAAAACTGAGCTTCCCTTGCAGTTTTGTTCTGCACCTCACCCCCAGGGATCTAGGTCTTCCAAACCATCACCAGGGATCTGAATTCTCCTCAAGGCCAGTCTATTCAGCCTAGCTGTAAACAGACTAGGAATATTGAAGTGGATAGGCCAGGATTAGTTTAAATTTTATTTTTATTTTTTAATAATATTTTTTATTGGTTTTACAAATTAGCTTTTCATTCACAAAAAAGAAAAGTACAATCCAAAAATATAGAATTCTTCAAATTCTCTGACTTCCATCCTCCCTTTCGTGGGGTCCACTAATAATCATTTTCACTGCATATTATATTAGCTTCCATATATCCATACATCTCTATTGTTTCCTATAGTTCTTTTCACATTGCAAGCGTTAATTCAACCCTAATGTTTTTAACTGTTTACAATGTTCTGTCAACTATATTATAATTTTTTCCCCAATCTTTTATTGTCCTGATAGGATAAGCCTTAAGTTTTAGAGCCACTGGTTTCCTTGGAAATGTCTGGTCACCCATAACAAGTGTTAATTCAGAGAGAATATTTAAGGGTGGGCCCTGTTATCCTTCAGGAAACTTCTTCCCTGCAAAAAGCTGATGTGATATTCGGGACAATTGAGAAGGGACTTTCCTATCTCTTGATGCTGCGAAGACCAGCTATATTCCTGAAAATGCCCTCCTTGCCTCCTCTCATTCCCCATCCTTACCCACCCAACTCTTATCTGTGGCAGAGGCAAATAGAGAGAGAGAGAGAAAAGACGGTGGCCGAGTTCAGACGTCTGCACCAGTTCTTGGAGGAACAAGAGGACCTTCTGCTGGAGAAAATGCAAGAGCTGGAGGAGGAGATTGCAAGGAAAAGGGAGGAGCACCTGGACAGGCTCTCCAGGGATCTCATACCCCTTGAAACTCTCATCCTGGAGATGGAAAAGAGGCTTCAGCGGCCAACCAGTGAAGTCCTGCCGGTGAGACTGTGAAAAAATAATAATAATAATAATAATTTTTATTTATATCCTGCCCTCCCCAGCCGAAGCCGGGCTCAGAGTGGCTAACAACAGTAAGAGTAACACAATTTACATAAAATCACAGTCAGTTACAGTGGTACCTCAGGTTACATATGCTTCAGGTTACACACGCTTCAGGTTACAGACTCCGCTAACCCAGAAATAGTACATCGGGTTAAGAACTTTGCTTCAGGATGAGAACAGAAATCGTGCTCTGGCGGCGCGGCGGCAGCAGGAGGCCCCATTAGCTAAAGTGGTGCTTCAGGTTAAGAACAGTTTCAGGTTAAGAACGGACCTCCGGAACGAATTACCGTAAGTACTTAACCCGAGGTACCACTGTAATTGAAATACATTCTAAAATCAATTCATTCTAAAAAACAAGTGGGCCAGACCCTTTTGCGGTGCAAGGCTGGCTCCAAATCATTGTGTGCCTCTGGCTATGTAGGCTGGCAGCCAAGGCTGTAGCAGGCCGGAGCAAGAAAAACATGAGGGATAATTTATTCATCTTAATGCAGAGTAGAGACGCCTGCTTCAAATAGGATGTTTTCTGCTCTTTGCTCATGGTTGGTTGTCTAATGGCTTCCAATGGCTCATTCCTGCCCCGCTTCTGAGCTTCCCAGAGGTTGCTGTTGCCAGAGGGAGGCTGCCCTTTGCCTTGGTCTGATCCATCAGGGCTTCCCTCCTGCTTCCTTTTAAGAGGTTGTGTTATCTTTTGGGGCTGCATAATTTCCAGTGCTGAGAACCTTCTGGCGGTTCCCTCGCTGAGAGAAGCCAAGTTACAGGGAACCAGGCAGAGGGCCTTCTCAGTAGTGGCACCCACCCTGTGGAATGCCCTCCCACCAGATGTCAAAGAGAACAACAACTACCAGACTTTTAGAAGACATCTGAAGGCAGCCCTGTTTAGGGAAGCTTTTAATGTTTAATAGGTTATTGTATTTTAATATTCTGTTGGAAGCCGCCCAGAGTGGCTGGGGAAACCCAGCCAGATGGGCGGGGTATAAATAATAAATTATGATTATTATTTAGTCGGGTGCTTACACTTCATCCTTCAGGGCATGGGATTGGGCGGGGATTGTATGGTCTGGGACAGGCACTGAGCTCCCTTTTCTTTCCCCATTTTTGCTGCAGGATATTGGAAGCCTTTTGAAGACGTAAGTGGATCTCACTCATTTCCTTTTGTTTCATTGGTAATGGTATGCCTACAGGTCGAAAACATGGTGGTGTTGAGGTTGGTTGGCCTTAAGCATCTAATGCCTTTTTACGGGCATAAATTGGTGTCTTGAAGTTGAAACCTGCCCTGTTTTCATTCCAAAAATCACTGGTTTTAGCAGTGCTCCTTACTGTCTGTTACATCCATTTGTATCTTTTGCTGCCATGGCAGTTTTAATGTCTTCCATTATCACATGGTGGCTGTTATGTACTGAGTTGAATAGGATCCAAAATGCAGCAGTCTGATTGGTCCTAGAACAATGCAGCAGTATGATTGGTCTGCAGGAGCCACCCAATCCAGCTCCAGATGGAAGTGAATCCACAACCTGATTGGCCTACAGGAGAATTCCGGAATTAGCCAATCACGTGCAGCCCATTGTGTAAATAATGTATATAAAGCAGATACTTTGGGGGAACTTTCATTCCTCCTCACCACTATGAGCTGAATAAAGAGCATGAAATCCGCTCTCGACTCCGAGTATATTTCAGTGGACTTCCATATCCAACACAGAATTTCTGGTATCTCTCTCCGATGTCTCTGACTTTCCATTTTGACGAGTGGCTGTTGTCACTCTTTCCCCTGCCTGTGATTTTTGTGTGGTTTTAAACTGACCTCTGGCGAAGCTCTGACTAGGTCTGGGAGATATGTCGAAATATCATCCCAAACCATTTGAAGTCCATATCATGCTATCAATTTCATAGTTTTTGATCTGGCAATATATTGCAAATCATGATCTCCCTCCCTCCCTCCTCCTCCTCTCTCTCTCTCTCTCTCTCTCTCTCTCTCCCCCTCCTTGTGTGTGTGTGTGTGTGTGTGTGTGTGCTACGCAAAAATCACAATGTGGGGGAAACTGTTCAGACATTGCGATATATCAGTATACAGTGGTACCTCAGGTTAAGTACTTAATTTGTTCTGGAGGTCCGTTCTTAACCTGAAGACCACTTTAGCTAATGGGGCCTCATGCTGCTGCCGCGCCTCCGGAACAAGATTTCTGTTCTTATCCTGAAGCAAAGTTCTTAACCTGAAGCACTATTTCTGGGTTAGCCGAGTCTGTAACCTGAAGCGTATGTAACCCGAGGTACCACTTTATCACGATGTTTAGCTGGTGATATTTCACAAAGATGAAAACCAAATATCACCCAGCCCTAGTTCTGACAAGGAGCTGAGAGGCCTCCACTTGGCTAAGTAAAATGTCATCAAAATAGGGATTAGTTAGGGATACCAAACATCAGAAGGTCTGTTATACTGTGGTACCTCGGGTTACATACACTTCGGGTTACAGACTCCGCTAACCCAGAAATAGTGCTTCAGGTTAAGAACTTTGCTTCAGGATGAGAACAGAAATCGGGCTCCGGCGGTGTGGCGGCAGCAGGAGGCCCCATTAGCTAAAGTGGTGCTTCAGGTTAAGAACAGTTTCAGGTTAAGTACGGACCTCTGGAACGAATTAAGTACTTAACCTGAGGTACCACTGTACAGAGTTAGGCCATTAAAGCAAGAACTTTAATATAGTGGCCATACCTCTTCCTTCCATTTATTTTTGTTCAGTGCATTCTAGGACTTTGGACCAGGTGGAGAGCTGTTAGGATTATTTTCTTTTGTTTTGTTTTAAGGTTTGAGGAGAGAGAGGTGATTAAGACACCGGTGGTTTTTTCTCCTGCATTAAACTGGAGGGCGTGGGAATTCAGTGATATGAACCCCTTTCTGGAAGGTGTCATACAGGAATTCAAAGGTAAGGAAAAATGGTTGCAAGGATTTTGGGCTGGCTGTGATTCTGGTCCAGATCTGAGTGTGTGGCAAGGAGCAAAGTCCTTTGTAATGTTGCCGGGGACAGGACAATTGAGAAAGCTATTATTGTTCATTAGTGGAATGGGCTCTGCTCAACATTCCTCCTGCAACCTCAGCCCATCATTTTGTTCTTCGGAATTGTTTTGAAGTTACTCTTCAGTTCATCTTTCCGGACACTGTAGAAACCATACCAGTGTGCTGCTGAATCTCTCTTCCTTTTCCTTCCCCAGACGCCCTAACATCGGATCTGAAATATCTGAAGAAAGGTAAGCAGAGAGGTCTGATAAAGCTCTGGATATCAGGCCTTCTCAGGGTTCTGATTCTCATCTCGTTCAAATGTGGGCAAAGTCTGGAAGAAAGGGGAGCATCCTTATCTTCAACGTAGTGTCTGATTTTTAGGGTGACAAGACAGTTTCCCAAGACAGTTTTGAAGCTCAGGATGTTTACTGATCCTTCTTCCAACGGATTCTTAAATATTTATATTTTATTAAGTTTCTGTACGGCCCTTCATCTGAGGATTGTGTGGTTTACAATACAGTTGTACCTTGGTTGTCAAATGCCTTGGTACTTGTATGTTTTGGCTCCTGAACGCTGCCAATCCGGAAGTGAGTGTTTTGGTTTGCGAACTTTCTTTGGAACCCGAACGTCCAACGTGGGTTCTGATTGAGTGCAGGAAGCCATGCCTTGGTTTCTGAACATTTTCAGAAGTTGAACGGACTTCCAGAATGGATTCTGTTCAACTTCCAAGGTACGACTGTACAGTGGTACCTCGGGTTACAGACGCTTCAGGTTACAGACTCCACTAACCCAGAAATAGTACCTCAAGTTAAGAACTTTGCTTCAGGATGACAACAGGAATCACGTGGCGGTGGCAGGAAACCCCATTAGCTAAAGTGGTGCTTCAGGCTAAGAACACTTTCAGGTTAAGAACAGACCTCCAGAACAAATTAAGTTCTTAACCCGAGGTACCACTGTATGATGTTGTTGTTGTTTAGTTGTTTAGTCATGTCCGACTCTTTGTGACCCCATGGACCAGAGCACACCAGGCACTCCTGTCTTCCACTGCCTCCCGCAGTTTGGTAGCTTCGAAAACACTATCCAACCATCTTGTCCTTCTCCTTGTACCCTCCATCTTTCCCAACATCAGGGTCTTTTCCAGGGAGTCTTCTCTTCTCATGAGGTGGCCAAAATATTGGAGCCTCAGCTTCACGATCTGTCCTTCCACTGAGCACCCAGGGCTGATTTCCTTCAGAATGCAGAGGTTTGATCTTCTTGCAGTCCATGGGACTCTCAAGAGTCTCCTCCAGCACCATAATTCAAAAGCATCAATTCCACTGTATAGAAAACATTAAAATGCATCACATGGCAACAACTGGATTATGATTCCTGTTCTCTTCTGTTTGTTCCCCCTCCCCACAAAAAAACTCCCATAGCAAAAGTGACTCTGGATCCGGAGACAGCTCACCCCCAGCTCATTCTGTCTGCGGATGGCCTGAGTGTGACGTGCGGAGATATGCGTGAAGAGGTACCCGACAACCCAAAGAGATTCAACCAGCTCACAGTGGTGCTGGGGAGAGAGGCGTTCACAGAAGGCCGATATAGTTGGGAGGTTACTGTGGGGAATGAGGAAGAGTGGGCTTTGGGCGTGGCCCGGAAATCTGTGAGGAGAAAGGGCATGTTCAACTTCACTCCCCAGGAAGGGGTCTGGGCTATGGGGAAGTGGAGGGGTCAGTACAGGGCCCTCAGTGATAATCCTTATCACTTGCACCCCAGCGGTGAGCTCAGAAGGATCCGAGTGACTCTGAACTACACTGGGCAGCGAGTGGCCTTTTTCGATGTCGACAGAGGAATCGCCCTTCTTGCCTTTGCAGGGGGTTCCTTCTCCGGAGAAGACCTTCTCCCCTTCTTCTGGCTGCAGGAAAGAGCCCATCTCAGGCTCTCTCCGTAGAACAGCCAAAATAGTGCAGGAGGTCAGAAGAAAAATATTGCACTTCTGCCTGCTGGGTGGTTATTTGGGGGCAGGGGGGCAGCAACTGGGAGTTTTGGAAAGACCTGGGGAAAACACTCTCAGCGCATTTGAATGACAAGTGAATGCCTAGAAGGTACAAAATGACATTATCCCCTAATATGGATTCCTTCTCCCCATGGCCCCCCCAAAATTGACTTACCACTTCAGACATGTCAGTGCTACCTATATGCCAATAAATGCCATCCTACAGGGTAAGTTTATTTGGGGGTGGGGTTGTGATTGAACTATTGTGATCATTGTGAAAGTGGACAATATTTCATTTTATAGCACTTTTCCCGTTAAAGAAAATTGGCAGTTTGTTCAGCAAAAGTATCACTGCATTCTAAAAAAAATAGAATTCGATCAATACATGTTTTTGGCACATGTGTCCATCTTGTGTACTTGTATTAATGGGTTCTTTTGATTTCTTTAGACTTTAGAAGCAGACTGTATGTATGTTTAGCTCTTTATAATAAAATAGTATTCTTATTTTCCGAAATAGATGTACTTCAAGTGTCTTGCTTCAAAATACAGCCAAGCCATGCTAAAATAAAATGGTATGGAGTAATACAGTAAAATTTATTGGTCTTCATGAAAATCTGGGGTGATAAGGGTTGCAGCCCGGAAAGCAGCTAACGTAGCACCAATTTTTCGCAAGAGATCTGGGGGAATCTTGGAAATTACAGGCCGGTTTGATTAACAGCTGTCCCAGGGAATCTGGTGGAAAGTATTGTTAAAGATTAAAATAGCCAAGTATATAGAACAGTGTTTTGCAAACTAGGGTCTTCAGCTGTTTTTGGACCACAACTCCCATCATCCAAAGCTAGCAGGACCAGTGGTCAGGGATGATGGGAATTGTAGTCCAAAACAGCTGGAGAGCCAAGTTTGAGAAATCCTGATATAGAAGAACAAGCCTCGCCAAACCAGGAACCAGCATGACTTCTGCAAGGGCAGGTCGAATCTCACAAACCTGTTACGAGTTCCTTGAGAGCGTTAGCAAGCACGTCAGTAGCAACTTGTGAGGTCACCATACATTTATGAGCATTTCCCAAACATGTTAATTGTGATTTAAGAACATTGCTGTTGGGAAGGAGGGGGTGGACCATAGCTGCCAACCGTCCCTTATTTGGCGGGAAAGTCCCTTATCCCAGCGCCGTGTCCCGCTGCTGTCCCTTATTGATGATGTCCCTTAAATTTCCTGGGTTTCAAAGGAAGCAGCTCCTCTCCCTCCCTCCCTCCCTCCCTCCCTGCCAGCCAGGGAGGAGGGAGGCTCCAACTGTGTTGCTTGGCTGCGTTGCTCACCCAATAAGGAGTCTAAGAACAACTGGGGGGTGGAGCTTGCATGCCTTGTGCTGATCAAATCGGCCACGTTGCCTGGGGACTCGCCTTTGCTCAGCGCTTCCCAGCGGAGAGGTGACGGTGGTTTTCCTTGCTGCATCCCCTTTGCCGGGTTGCTGCGCTGTGGGAACCACCACTTGAGGCTTTGTTTGGCTGCTGGTTGACTAAAACCCCTTATTTTGGCTGCTGATCCCTTATTTTCGAGGCTGCTGGTCCCTTATTTTCAAATCTGTAAGTTGACAGCTATGGGTGGGATATATGATCCAGGATATCCCAACTTTACTTTGGAGTTCAGGGATACCTGAACTGCCCTTCCGTTTTAGCGTTTCAAACTTCTGAGCAAATGAAGACTTGGGAACTTGTAACAAACCTTAGCATTGAGTGCAAGGCGCTCTTCCCGCTCCTTGTGATTCCCAGGAATTGCTATTATGGTGCTGGACAATGAATGGAGAACGTAGCCATTGTGGTTTGTAGTTACAGATAGGCTCAGCATCTCTGAAATTACAGCCGCCTTGCTTGGAACTAGAACCAGTGGGGCTGGTTTTTCTGACATGTAATGCATAGATGGGTGGTCTAGAAAGGCTCTTAAATAAATTATTAATTGATTGATTGATTGATTGATTGATTGATTGATTGATGTCCCCTGCCACCTTCCCCTTGGGATTTATAGCAGCTCCAGTGCATTTGCAGATTTCATGTGATTGAAGTCTTACGCAGAAGGAATTCACAAGGAATTGTTAGTATGGAGAGGCCTGATCGGGTTTAAGACTTAGCTAGTCCAGCATCCTTATAGCTTATCAACAAAGTCACGGGGAGCAGAATCCTTGGAGCTTCTGTCCTTGACTGGCTACATTTCTCATGGCAGGGATTTTGATTCCGTTGCTGTCTTGCCAAATGCAAGGTGGTTCTTTTTAGAATTAGATTCAGAAGCAATACAAACGAAAGTGGGTGAGAAGATTACAGATTTTATTCCAAACAGCAAGAAAAATATACATTACCAAACAGCACTTCAATCGGCCACTGAGAAGCCCTTAAGAAGTGGCAAAGTGCTAAAAATCAGAAATTACTTGAAAGTACTAAAATAGGCCTAGGACTAAATTAAACGGCCTCAGTCCTGTATACCTGAAGGAGCGTCTCCACCCCCATCGTTCAGCCTGGACACTGAGATCCAGCGCCGAGGGCCTTCTGGCGGTTCCCTCATTGCAAGAAGTGAGGTTGCAGGGAACCAGACAGAGGGCCTTCTCGGTATTGGCGCCCGCCCTGTGGAACACCCTCCCTTCAGATGTGAAGGAAATAAGCAGCTATCTTCTCTTTAAAAGACATCTGAAGGCACTCTTTCATCTTCTCACATAAAAAACCAAGAATAAGCCCCAAATACCTGCACCTCCCCACCTCAGAAGGAGGATGGGGAATCCCCAACATAGAAGCATATTACACTGCCAACCAAATACGCCATATAATCCCATACAGGGGCGCCGACTTATAAAAAATATTGGGGGGGCCCATACCGGGGTCCTGCCCCGGGAAGTTTTCTAAGTTCCAATGTCAGCGGCGCCCGGCAGAGCAGCCCTCTCGGCCACGGCAGCCCGGCTCTCCCAGCCCCCGGGGGCCGCCCTCCTCCCTCGCGCACCCGCAGCGTTCCCGCCCGGGGAGGCGGCGCCCCCAAGGACTCAGGTTCGGTTGTACCTGAGAAGCCGAGCACCTCGGCTCCCAAACAAATCGGCTTCTGAACAATCGAAACCCGGAAGTGAGTGTTCTGGTTTTCAAATGATTTTTGGAGGGCGAACATCCGGTGCGGCTTCCGATTGGCTGCAGGGGGCTCCTCTGGCAGAAGCCGCACTCTGGTTTTCAAATGGTTCCAGGAGTCCAATGGACTCCCGGAACGCATTCTGTTCGAGAACCAAGGTACAGTGGACGCTCGGGTTGCGAACGTGATCCATGTGGGAGGCACGTTCGCAACCCGCAGTGTTCACAACTCACATTGCTGCGTCTGCGCACACACAGGTTGTGATTTAGCGCTTCTGCTCATGCACAAGTGCCGAAACCTGGAAGTAACCCATTCCGGTACTTCTGGGTTTCAGTGCATCCATAACCTGAAAATGCTTAAGCTGAAGCATCTGTAACCCGAGGTATGACTGTATGTACCAGTCCTAAGGAACTGGCCAAGTAAGGCAATCAGCATCTGCAGGTCCCTTGACAGACAGGAGAGAAGCCACACTCTTGGATTTCTGTTGGTAGATGCCTCTTCCTGAGATGCTTGTATTATGCTAATCATAGAATCATAGAGACAGAAGGGACCCCAAGGTCATCTAGTCCAGCCCCCTGCAATGCAGGAATCTTAGCTCAAGCATCCCTGACAGATGGCCACCTAGCCTCTCCCAGGGAGCAGAGACCGTCTGAACAGCTCTTATTGTCAGAAAGCTCTTCCTGATGTTGAGCCGGAAAAGTCTTTCAAAGCTGCTGCACACCTTTGTTTGGGGTCCTCCCCTCCTTGCAAATGTCAGTGGGAAGGAGGGCTCTGTTTCAACAGAAAAATAAAGATTCCCCCTTTCTTCCAGCTTCCACTCATTCGTCTCCGACTGATAATGGACTTGGGAGGCTTTGAGCCCCTTGGGGAGCTGAGCTGTAAAGGACAACCTCCAATTTTCATGCATCAGAAGGAGCCCAGGAGCCCCATCGGGGCTTACCCTGTGCAGGCTGGTTCCCCCCCACACACAAACACACACACTGGGTTGCAATTTTGTGGGTCAGCTTTGGCTGGGAGAGGCAGCCCCCGTTAAGTCTCTGCCAGCCCAATAGCACAGCCCCCCCCCTGCCAAGTCCATGGCAGGAGACAGGCAGCAGCACCCAGACCCCAGAGGCTGCCCTTGGGACTGGCGTTCCCACACTGCCGCCTCCGCAACAAAGGCCAGCGGCCAAGTTCCCCCCCCCCAGCCGCTTCCTTGGTCCCACAGGAAAGCCAGGCAGGGGCTGCACATCCTGCCCTCCGCCTCTTCCTGCTGCCCCCAACAGACAACCAGGCCTGCAAGCTTCCTCTTCTGACATCGCCCAGGCCCCCACACAGCCCCCCACCAGCAAAACGCCCAGGAGTTTGAAGGGACCCGAGGGCCACGCAGCCAAGGGGTCTAACTCTGCAGGGAAAAGCTTCCTGTCTTTCCTCTGCCCCCTCCCCACCGGAAAGGGATGGTGGCTGCAGGCTCTGCCCCCCCCTTAACATCTGCAAAATGATTAAGGCTGATACATTGTGTTACAGGATTTTATCTAGGTAACTTCCCTGAGCTGTCAAGTTGAAAGGGTACATTCAGGCATAATATTTGCAACATTTAACAACTTTAAAGATGTCCCCCCCCCCTGTAATTTCCATAACAGTTGGAAGGACAAAAATATAACCTCCTATGACAACTCCTGCAACCCATGAGCTTTCAGACAAAGATCATGCATGGACAAATGTAAAGATCTTTGGAAAGTATTGATCGAAACCACAGTAACAAACAAATCAATGTATCTTCAAGGGAAAGAATAAGTAGATCCATTTGCATATATAGCTCTGTAGGCTTAATGAGATTCCCACAAAACATTAGGAAGGCCTTTCTGGTGGTGAGAGCAGTCAGACAGGGGAAGGGGCTTTTAGGGAGAGGTCGGGGGGGGGCATCTGCCAGGGATGCTTTAGCTGTGAGTCCTGAATTGCTGGGGGTTGGACTGGATGACCTTTGGGTCCCTTCCACCTCTATAATTCCATGACCTTTAAGGGAAGTCACCTCCATCTTCCTCTCAGAGCAGATGCCCACAAGCCCTGGGCGGGAAGAGCCCGAGAGAGAGAGAGACGGGGAGAGAGAGAGAGAGAGAGAGAGAGCCCGAGAGAGAGCCCGAGAGAGAGAGAGAGAGAGAGCCCGAGAGAGAGCCCGAGAGAGAGAGAGAGCCCGAGAGAGAGCGAGAGAGAGAGAGAGAGAGAGAGAGAGAGAGCCCGAGAGAGAGCCCGAGAGAGAGAGAGAGAGAGAGAGCCCGAGAGAGCGCGAGA